AGACAAATAGATAGACAGATAAATGGATTGATGGATGGATGGATGGATAGATGGCTGGATGGATGGATAGATATAGAGAGATAGATTAATAGATCTGAACAGGTAGATATAGATAGATAGGCGGATGGATAGATGGATAGATAGAAAGGTGGATCGATAGATGTAGACAGATAGATGGACAAATTGGTTAGTAGCAGATGACACAGGTCTAAGTCTTTTGTATTCTCTGTTGTTTAGCGCCCAGCTGCACTGCTGACACTTTACCAGACTCTCCCAATGCCCCACTTCCGCTGGTATACTACACCCTAAGTACCCTGTACTTCGATTCTATAGATGCACAATGGTTTACATTTGCATATATACACATGCAAATGCATATCGTGTATGTAAGCATCTGCAATGTACATGAGTGACAAAACATTCTTTGTTTGGCAACATCTCTGAGAGCAAGCTCACACGCGCGGAGCCAGAACAAAATGAGTGCTGCTAATGATCAGTATAATCTTTTGTAGATGTTCATAACTTGTTTACCTTTGCACACCTTTGCCACTGTAGCAATAGCTGTAGCTTATCATTGCAGTCAGCTTTACCGCAAGTGCTGAAAGCAGTCTTTATTACTACTACGAGTACTTCTGATTTTGCTACGACCCTTATCCTTACGAATACCATTGCTACTGCCTTCGTAATACAGACCATCGTCAGTGCCATCATGACCCGGCTTGCTAGCACTGCTGCCCTTGGAATGCAAAGTTTTAGATCAACATTTCAACGTCTGCGCGTTTTTTGGGCTGAATACACGGCGGGCAGCACTTTTGGCTTCTTGGTGTCGTTCTCCACTTCGCCGGCCACATACGAAGCATCTTGGCCACAGGGGCTGCATGACTCGGAAGCCCAGTGCCATATCAACGTGGTCAGGCAGGCAGAAAGCTTGAGAGGCCGGTACAGGAAGCTGAACGGTCAGAGCAAAGAGAAGCGCCATAAATACAATGTCGTACAGTTGGCTACATGCTGTCTACGGGTCTAGGCGATATACATGTGTGGATTGCTTTATATACACATGTACGGATGCATGCATGCATGCATGCATGCATGCATGCATGCATGCATGCATGCATGCATGCATGTACATCGTATCTCCGGTCTGCGCATGTGTTTATGTATGTATGCATTGGTCCCTGCATGGGCACATTTATGCATGTTCGCATGAATGTACGCCTGTATGTACGCATGCAAGCACGCAAGTATGCATGCATGTATGTGCTGGCATAAGTAAGTAAGTAAGTAAGCAAGCAAGTCAGTCATTAAGTCAGTAAGTCAGTAAGTCAGTAAGCCAGGTTGTATTTAAGAAAGTAGGTAAGTAAGTACGTAAGTACGTAAGTAAGCAAGCGAGCAAGTGAGTAAGCAAGCAAATAAGCAAATAAGTATGTCAGTATGTAGGTATGTATGTATGCATGTAAGAATGTATCTATGTACGTACGCTCGCATACATCTATGTACGTATGTGTGTATGCTTGTGCGGCTGTATCCATGCACGCATTCATGCATGCATGCATAGCGCGGGTATGTAGAGAGAGAGAGAGAGTGAGTGAGAGTGAGAGTGAGGGTGAGAGAGCCAGCCGGCCAACCAGGCAGACAGACAGCTAGGCACATAGCTACATAGCCGGTGGCTTGACGGCTTGACAGATAGATTGGTTGATGGGTAGACGGGAAGGTAAACAGATCATATACAAGTTCTATGTGTGCAAACATATATGATATTCAATATGCACTAACGAGGCATATCTGAATGCATGTACCTACATACATATATACATGCATACATCCATGCATGCATACGTACATCATACATGCATACATGCATACGTGCATACATACATACATACATACATACGTACATACATACGTACATGTATAATTATGTGTTTATATATATATATACATATGCACATTTAAGGCTGTTGGACGATGGCACTGTTTCCGACCGTACATCTCAGCACATGTAAACAGATATGCGAAAGTTTCTACTGATCCGTACACATTTCGCACGTGACAAGCAACAGTTATTCACGTCGGAAACCTGAAAATGCGTGCCGGGGCTCAGCCACTTTCCTCCACGGCATCTTGCGCTTCAGACGGGGGAAGAATGTCAGGATGACTGTGCCCTGAATTGAGCAAGGAACATCTCTGAAGTGATGCACTCTCAGCTCACTGCTTCCTGGTCTACTTTCCGGCTGCAAGCCCCTTGTATCTCCGTCGGACGTGAGACGCGAACAAAAGACATGGAGACGAACTCCAATCTAGGGGCCCCGAACACCTTCCACTCTGAAGCTCTGGTTATGCTATTGTGTCGTACAATCCTACTCGTCTACTGGGTATTATTCATCTGATGAAACCCTTCTTGGGCGGAGCCAAGCTGCAGATCGGCTTGTTGATCTCAGAGCCGTCTGGCATTTTGGGATCAAATTGGGGGGGGGGTCACTGAGGATGCAATGTAGGGGTTAATTAGGGTTACTGTTGGTATTTCTCATTGTTGCTTTTGCAGCTGTGGTCTGTAGTTATTGCCATTGTTATCACCGTTGTAGCTCACGGCGCAGAGCTGTTGAGTTGAATGACGATGTGCGTAATTCAGTGCTGAAGTTCTTGAAGTGCCCTTCATTTCGTTGCGGCAAAAAATTCGAGGCGTCTGAACTTGTCCCACAGTGACTTCTCGTCCTTCTGCTTTTTCAATCCGGAGAGATGGCAGTCGTGGCAGACACTGCCGGTGACACTTCCGAACCCCATAAAGGAACCCGTCAATGATCCAAGGAACCCTATAAAGGAACCTTTAAAGGAACCGTTACAGGCTCAAGCTCGATCTTTGCTTTAAGGATCCTTTGGAGGTTCTTGGCGTCAGGCTCGGGGGAAAGAAGGTCTTCTTAACTCTCAGGTGGGCTCACGGATCCTTGCGGCAGAATACACCCTTGCTCTTCGAGACTGCACACTAAAACCTTGGCCAAAAACTGCAATCCACACAACCCTTACTGGCTCCAACCCATCAAGGTGGCCTACGCTCGCGGAAGCTACCAACAACCTTTCTCCTGCAAAAAACTCAGCCTGGGCCCCAAAGCCAACACAATCCAACTTGCCATCAACTTCTGGAACTATGGCTTGCGCAACTACTACTCTACTGTGGTGGCTCTTACCATTACTGATCCCTCGTGACCCACCTCCTGGCTCCATCAACCGGCTCCGAGGAGTGGGATCCTTCCTGAAAGCGAGTTTCATCCCTCTGATCCTCTGTGTCTGATTCGATTTCTTGGTGGTTGTGTGGTGTGTTACTGGGTCTGCATGGACTTTTGTTCACCATTGGATCGTCTCATCTTTGCCTTTTGAAGCCTGATTTCCTTCGCCTTTTTCTTGATTCACATCATGGCGTTCTCATCATTACCGATGGTGCTCTTATTGTTATTATCATTATTGCTATTGCTACTCATTTTACTGTTCAGAATAAGTTTACATTTATTCCGAAAATTTCCATTATTGCTACTAGCATAGTACTTTCGTGGCTAGTACTACTACCATTGCCAGTAATACCCTAAACCAAAAGAATCCAAACGCACGAGCTGCCGCCAGGTCTCGAGGCTCTCTCACCAGCCACAGGACTGTTCTCCTTCCGGGGACTTTGGGTTTAGGGTTTAGGGTTTAGGGTTTAGGGTTTAGGGTTTAGGGTTTAGGGTTTAGGGTTTAGGGTTTAGGGTTTAGGGTTTAGGGGTTTCCGGGGACTTCGGGGGCCTTCTGCGGATGAGTACTGTCTAGTAGATCAGTACTGCACAGCCTATTATCTTAGCAGATACTATGTTACCATTACTGTACTGTCTACATCTGCATTTGTATCTATATCTATGTCTCTGTCTATATCGATATCTGTATCTATATCTCTATATATATATATATACAAATAATTATCTTGTTGGGTGGAGGTTTGCGTTGGTCCCAAGAACTCCTCGTCGGAGTGGTCCTCGAGTTGAGCCACCTGCACTGATAACACCGTGTGACTGATCCTGCGTCATGCGTGATGACAGCTGACATATTTACTGTGCACACTCGGACATGTAATGTGTATTTGTGCATGTATGTGATGCGCGTATATGGTTCAGCACGCCCTGAATCCAAGCTGGAAGCGAAGCCAGATGCTTCTTAAACTCTGCCTCCTGCTTTCGGCGCGTGGTGCTTGACCGGAATCGATCGATGGACTCGGGGCGAGGATGCGATAGTGCATGCCGCTGTGGGGGCTCAGATACTGAGATCCAAGATAAGAACTGCCGAAGACTGAGGTTGGGGCACCCTTCATCACATTTTCCATGCGCCCGCCGGCAGAGTTCGCTTTGAGTTTCTGGCAGGGCCCGTCGGCTCAGAACCCACCAGCCACAAGAGTGCAAAGCCGTGTCGAGAGAGGTGCCTCCAAGTGGGTGAGATCTTCCGCCTCCTTCCATTGTCTGGACAGGGCTATACGAGTGAATGGGGAGCAGTGCCGTCCTCATTGGCCATCTTCAGCTGCGGGGCCGAAGCCTTCGGACATGGAAAGCAAAACCAAGGAGCCGCTGCCGAGCCTCGAACACGGATGCCTCGAGCCGCAGTGAGTCGCGGGGCGAGTCGCCGAGCTCAGAAGGATCTATTGCGAAGAAATGGGCAGCCTGCTTAATGCCACGATTCCCCACACAAAACCCAAGTGCAAAGTAGAAAACACATCTAAAATGTAACATCGGGCAGGCGATCAGGGATCGCTCGCGTTTGCTTCTGTTGGCTGTCTTGGCTGATGACATCTGTCTGGGCCATGCTTCCGGTACTCCAGAAATGGCTACGATGAAGGTCATCGCAACTGCGTGCAAGGGCACTGACAGCACAGAGTCCTGCGTGGAGCACGAGAATGTCTCCAAAAAGTACTGAATCTTCGCAACCATGCACCACTGGTAGCAAACTCCGAGGTGTGGAGTTTGCACGCGCCGCTCTGGGATCCGAGCCCAGCGGTCGAATGCCTTTGGGTCCTGCTGTTCGGTGCAGTCACCGATATCTGAGCAAACCTCCTAAACCCTAAACCCCTAAACCCCTAAACCAATGATGGTGATCGTCAGATTGCATGGCCCTTTCACGTGCCAAGCTCAGATCTGGCCCTAGCCTTGCACAATGGGTTTAGGGTTTAGGGCTTGGGGTTCACATCCTCATAGGATCGCTTTACAAAGAAGCGAAGAGTCCTTGCGGATGTTGCCCTCGCCAGAGCAAGGCCTCAGTCTCTCGTAGAATCCGGAAAACCGTCCGAAGCACTCGTCCCAGCCCCATCTGCCCTGCAGTATCCTTGCAGTAACCCTTAGCGAAACGCGTATAATAATCCCTAATTCCTTTACACCTTTACACCTTTGCGGTAACCCTCTCTTTAAGCCGCTATGATTCACTAATACCGCGATGGCAACCTTCATTAACAACGTTTGTAGTGCGCTGGTCGGGGACTCTTTGACTGAGGGCTTGGGCGCATCCACGAGGATGGCATCGAAGGCTTCGGGGCAGAGCTCACCAAAGCGGCGGCCGTCAAGGCTCCTCAGTGGGAGCTCGTGACTTGGCCACAAGTGGGGCCATGTCACTTCCTGTCAAAACCGAAACCCTAAACAAAAAAACAAATTCTCAAAGTCCCCCACTTCGACAAAGACTACGGCCATCAAGGTGCGAGACGAGGGCCCGAGAGGCCCCGGAGCGGTGCAGGTTGGCTCTGAGAAGTCGTGCCTTAGGGACTCTTTGTGCTGGAGATGCTTGTGAAAGCGAGGCTACAACGTCAACAAGCCTGGCCTCCGGAAGAGTACAGATCTGAAACAGGTAGCTGAGAAGCGCGCCCGATCCTCACGGAATTCGTTGGCCTGGAATGCAAACTCGGCGGCAAGAACTGTGACGGCAACTCTGGTGGCTGTGCATACTGGATGCCTGCAAGCATTTTGCCCGCGGGCAACTTGTACGACCGCGTGAGACCTGCTCAGGTGAGCACCATCAGCACCGTACAGCTGGGCAGCTGCGACACGAGCTGCGTGGCCTTAGTTGAAATGTCCCACTTCTGGATGCTCTGGGCGGGGTGCGGGGGTCCAGGATCCCATAGTGGCAAAGGAGGAAGGTGCAATTTCGTAGTGAATGAACCCCACAGGCCCACCAAGTCCTGAAGTATGGACGTGTTCGAGCAGGCTTGGAATCACCCCCACTGTTGTCCCAAACAACCAAAAGCACAGTAGCAAACCTTCATAATGGTAGTAGGTAGCAGGCGCATGGGGTGCTGTGCTTCTTTCCTTGGGTCTTCTTGCATTTTCGTTCGGGGGTGGGGGTCGGTGGGGGGTGGTGGGGGTGCAGCGCGGGGGCGACGGCGTCGACTCTAAGGGCGATCTTAGCCCAAAACACTGGTATTTATAGCATTCTTTGCCACTTCGTACAACGTACTGCAGAAGGATGTTTGAACGCACTATCACAAGGGTTCATAACATGCGCGGGATGGCCTAAACCACTGGCATTTTCAGAGTGCCGCCACTTAATGCAACAGATGATGATGATGATGATGATGATGATCACTGCCGAACAATATTGGCTGTGTGGAGTCTTGTACAACTTCCAATAGTTTCCGGCAGGCGCTACAATCTCGATTGTTTTCTGAAGATCGCGCTAAAACCTCGGCTTACCACATTTTGTGCAATGTAACACGGCGCCCTGTGCGCCCGGACCCCACAATCCCTCTTAGTCCCCCTTATTCGCGTCATGGTATCTCACTTGGTGTCCGGCCTTGCTACCTGGAGCGGCACAAAGGTCCTCGCAACACGGCATCAAACTGCTCTGAAAGGATGATACAACATGAAACCATCTGATACCAAATTCTGACATAATTTGAATGCAATACGACACGATGCAATACAATAAAACTCAAGACATAAGGAAGATCGCGCACACACCCCGGAGGCCAATCCCATGACCTCTCCCACTCCCATCCTAGACTACTCTCATTGACATGGCGTTGACGAGGCTGAGCTGTCAGTCCAGAACGTATTCTGGCAAGATCTGATGCCGTCGCAGTGCAGCCCCAAGTACCTTCGAAGAGGGTTGGCAGCAAGTGAAGGCCCGAAACCACGGCCAGCAGGAAGCATCCGAAGATGCTTCGCCTGGACCATGATGGATCCTGTAAGAGATTCTGTGAGACTCGAACTCGCATGATGCTACGAATGCATGGTGTCTCTTGGCTTCTCTGGTCTAGTTCATCAGAAACACAAGCGACCTGCCGTTTGCCGACCACGACAAAGAACGCCAACACAAGTCCAAAAGCTAGGACCTCTAAAGCTCAAGAACAGCGTAGGGCCTACAGACTGCGATCAATCACCAATGGCCTCCAACAGCTACAGCTCAAATTATCAGGATGATTCTTATGGTTATTGAAATTATTCTCATGCCATGGCAACCTTTGATATCCTGGATGTTTGGTGCCGGAACTCTGCTTGGCCTCCACCGGCAGCGTTGACGTTGTTTCCTGTCCTTGTCTGCTCCAACAGCCCAAAGCAGCAAATCCGAAATGTCGAAAAGCCGACAGTCACAAGGTTTAAGCAGCCTCGATGACTCAACCCATAACTTATGTTCGGGTATAACTTTAAGAACAATCTCTATTCGCATAGCAAGTGGCCAAACTCAAAAGCTCTGAAGCTCTAACTGACTGTTGGTTCTCTGCAGCGCTCCAAGAGCCGGGACCCCCGCCGTAGACCTCACCACGTCGGTGCGCCAAACTCCTTCCCAGGCTTGGGGCCTCGTACAGGAGTCTCTGCTGTGATGAAGTTGGGGTGTTGGGCTGATGCTCTGGAATGTTCCGGCCTAGGCTCGGGGAGTAGTAGAACTTCAAATCTCATATATAGCATTGTTAGGGTTCAGGGGAGTCTTCCGACATCCCATCGGCGTTGGTTGTTGCACGGCTTTGTCGAGAAATCCAAACCTCGCATTACCATGGCGAAGTACCCCGGATATTAGGCTGGAGTTCTTTCTGTACCATCACAGACTAGAAAGAGCTGCATACCTCATACTATGCCAGGGCCCCACAGGCTCCCAGGACCCAGCCCATGAGTCCCACAAGCCACGCCGCGGCAGGGCCAGGACACCCACGGCACTGCGGCATGATCTTGGCAGACAAGGAACGAAGGGGACTGTGCCGGGGACACGATATTTGGAGGCGGAAACATGACTCGCTGCCCCAAAGTATGCACGACACTGTAGCGGGAGCGCGATTTCGGGAGGCAGAATCGAACGTGACCGTAGCGGGAAGACGAGTCGCACCCCCACGTTTGCACGGCACTGCAACGGCGCACGATTGCCGACTTTGCAAATTTGACCCAAGAGCCAAATAGCGCGGTCCTGCCACTTCGCAGCGGCTTGAAGGCTAAAGCGAGCACGAGACTGGCGGGAGCGCCATGTCCACCCAAAACACACACTGAGAGGGGAAGCGACAAAGTAGTGGAGGTTACCATGACCTCGGTGTCCCGAGCAGACCGGGCCCACGGAACAGCCGAGAGCGCCTCCCTCGCCCGGATACTACTTGCCATTTACTTCCATCGTAATCTCCCCATCGTGATCCCGCACGTTTGGGTAAGTATCAGAATATCTTCCGTTGCCTTCCTCCTGCTACTTTTTGCTATGCTGCTGTTGCTGCTAGCCTTCGCCGTTGCTGGCTGGCGTATTGCTACTGTCTATAATTCCTACAGTTCCAACCACTCTTAGACTTCTTTGAGAAGTTGTTGCCATCGCTGCCATGGCTAGTAGACCTATTGTTGCAGTTGCCAGAATTACCACAATTATAACAATTAAATGTTTGAGTACCCGCTGGCAGCTGGCATTACAAGCATTGCCAGAATCATGATTCTTCGTGTCCTGAGCCCTGAGCATCATGGCAGTCATTGTCACTCGTGATTCTTCTTTCTTCTGGGAATCATTTGGTGGTGCTGCGGTGCCATTCTTATTGGCACCAACTTCGAGAAATTGCACTTGCAACAATTGCCAGCGTCGTCCTGAACTCGACCCCATGCCTGGCAGTTGAGCTCGTCAACTGCAGCCACGAAAAAACCTCGGGCTTGGCGTTCTACGCATATGCAAGCCTGTGCAAGCTTCGTTCCGCACGGCGTGGCAGCACGGCAGGTCGGGCCCCAGCAGAGAAGCATGGTTCTGTTGATAGGAGCCCGATTGGATGCTGTCTGCACCGGGCGGCAGGATCTGTAATGAGCCTTCAGCATCAATTTGCCTTGCAACGAACGGCCCCCGCCCTCCACCGATCTGAGGAAGCCGAGCGGCCATCCGAGCTGAAGGGTGAGGGCGACAAACGGAAGCCTTTGGTTGGTTGGGGACAAAAAGGGGGGAGCCCAAGCCAAAGAATCTTCGGAACTTTGGCTTGCGATTTCGATTTCTTCCCTGTACCTGGAGCCTGCTTCTACTTAGAACAGAGCCTGCTACCCTAATCGACAAGCTGGTCGTGGAAGTTGCTGCTCCTGGACAAAAGAGACTATATCCACTGCACTCTCAAAACAAAGAAGCCGACCTCCCTGAAGCCATCGAAGCTCTCCGGCCTTCTTCCCGCAGGCGGCCTTGCAACCCGCGCTGCGCCCGGCGCCGGGCCACGCGCAGCGCGGGCTGTGGAGGCCGGGCGCAGCTCCTCCAAGAGCGACCCAGACCACCACGTGGTCGGAGCAACGGTGCTACAACGATAGATTGACAGCCGTAACAACTTAAATCAGCCGTTTCAGGCACCGGAGCCGCGGACACTCCCCAGATCCACTGGAGGCCCAACTTACAAGTTTCAATGAAGTCCGAACCGCTGTCGTGCAATTGTGCCTATGAACGCCAAGCCTCCTCAACAAAATACATCCGAAATCTGTGCTGACTTCCGTCTGGCTTCCATCCTCAAGAACCGCCGAAGTTCGCAGCCACCGAGACCCCCGGCAGCGCAAAGGTGAGCGAGCAGCCGCCTTTCACAGGGCCCACTGGATCAGTTTCTCCCGAAGCGACCACGCGCACAAGGACCCTGCAATCACTCCTCGGAGCCGGCGGGCTCCGCCGCAGTCGCTGGTGATCCGAGCATGAGACGCCACATGCACAAATCATCTGAGTGGAGATTTCTTGGAGGACTCCGTCATGAGACTGACAAACAAAAGCTTAAGGCTTTCCGGGCTTCGATGTCCGGGCCGGGGAGGTTCTCCCTGAAGCTACTCTGCCGATCTGGTGCTCTCCTGGGCCGACTTTGCAGCCCCGAGTGAGATCGGACGTGAAAGGCTGGAGCCGCAACGACCAGGAAAACCACCTCTCATAGTCATGCCGTTATGGGCCAAGGGCTTCTTCGAGACTTGATGCAACTGTTGGGAGAGATCGATAAGGACAAGAGGTCAATAGCATATTATGGCATAAACATTCAACCGGCTTCTGACATGGTGCCAGGGAGAAAAGCAAAAATAATTTCTCGACAAGCCAGAAGCTCCTGTGCCTATCTTGATATAGAGTCATAGAGGTTGGAGACCGTGTTAATGGCATGCGGAAAAGGGCCTGCGTGA